GTTCCATGTCGTCGTTCCCTTTGTTCCTCTCGTCGGTTCATCCCCGCAGGGCCTGGAAGGGGGATGAGCCGCTGGCGGGGGTGACGGGTCCGTGCGCGCTGGCGGCCCCGCCCGCTGCCGAGCGGAGGCCTGTGCTCGGGCCGCTCTGCGTCCTGCTCCTTGCCTCGGTGTGCTGCCGGTTTAGGTGTTAGTCTGGAAACAGGGAAGTTGCGGGGGGGGAGGATAAGTGCATGGGAGCGTCCTAGGTGGAGGGCTGAAGGAGGACCCTGCGCCAAAGAGCGTTAAGCTTTAGAAAGGGACATGTTTTTTTGCTTGAATGTTCATCTTCGAGGTAGGGTTCTAACACCTGCAGCCAGTCTCACAAAAAATACCATGTCGCAAGTTGCACTGGCTTTAGTTCCCCGCTACCTGTCGTATTGGTGGGGGTGGTGGGGGGGAAGGGGTCTTCCCCCACACCTTATGTCTCAAAGTACACTCAGCTTTATCTGGGAATGCACACTTCGTAGCAGAGTAATGTCTATGGGGGGGAATGTGAAAAGCACAATTAACGTTTTTACTTTGTTTAATTAATTACATTAAATTTCAGAGAACAGAACTCAGAGGTAACTTTTAAACAATGGTTATTCTTAGATTATCTTGGTTTTCCCTCTTACAGTGCAGTTTACTTACCATTTCTCCACGCAAGGAATAATATGAGAGATACAAGGTGCAGGAAAATTAGGATGCTTTCTAGGAGTATAACTGGCAAGTACGTCTGCTCATAATGGCACTAGTGAGATTGTTTAAACCTTTATTTATAGGAGCAGCCCTATCTGTGTCCTTTCAGCACTTAGGGGGCCAATTGGAAAAAGGAGACTGAAACTTCAACAGTTCTGTTCTGGGCTACAGGTGAAATCTCTAAGCCATCTGACCATGCTCATCCAGCCCAGGTAAATGTGGTTGCTAAATTTCCTTTCACTTGAGAGTTTGCTGTCAAATATACCTCAAACTGAAGGGCATCATCTGTTTTCAACATGTTAGTAATTTCCTCAGTGGAACGGGGAGGCTTGTATTGATGAAGGTGATAAAAGGAAAGACAAAGAGGATACAGAAATGGAATACCACTCAGGGAACAGTGGAAGAGCTGATGCTTGTTGCAGTGAGCTTGGTGTTGCCTACCAGGCCCTCAACTGGGAACATTAAAACAAGTGATTTTCTGAGAAGGTTGCTGTCCCTTTTGCCACTGCCCCAGTTGGAAAAGTGCTTATGCAGTCATCATCAAAGGGGGGACCACATCCTGGATGAATCCTGAAGAGCAGGTTGCTGCATCAGTGAGTGATGAGAGTGGAAGGAAGTAGCAAATGTAGGGACAAGGAGGACAGAAAGCCGGGATCAGGAGCACCATTCCTGTCCAAACTGCTTTCTTCTGTCTTGAAGAGTATTGAATCTAAAGTGAGCCATGCTGCTGCCTCAACATCATGACAGTTTTCTATTGGTCATGGATGTCCTCCTCTGTTTTGTCCTTCAGTGTTGTCCTGGTCCTGGCCACCTGTATTCCCACTGGCTCCAGGGCTGCTTTGTTTGCTTTCTTTGGGAAGGGTGGAGGAGGCTTCTCTAGTATGAGAAATGTTCCTGCGTATCATTGTGATGTTTCCAGCAGAAGCACCATTTCAGTATCTTGCGCTAGCTAAAGTGATTACGTGAAATAAAATGTTTCAATTCCTCAGGAGCTGGCTGTAGTATTTTTTAGGTAACCAGCTACACCAGTTACAAGTGAGCACTCCTGCTGGCATTCTGCTAATTTTCCCTTTGAATTTTATGAGTCATGCCACAATATAAGGTTTAGACATGTTTTCCACACAGCAGTAAGTATTAAACAGGAAAAGCTCCTATGAAACAATCATGATGAAAGGCCGATTTTCCACAGCTTTCAACTTTGCCTGTGCAAATTTCAAATGACCCAAAACCACCATCATTTTTCCCTCTCACACATTTTTATAAAAGGGCTGTTATTTGATAGGTAATACTGTTTTTTTTCCTTTTGTTTCAGTCTGCAGGCAGAAGACTTCCAAATGCCAAGTATATAGTTGCCCTCAGGCTGGGTAAGGCCCTGTGTCAAAATAGTACAGGAAATGTGTGTGCTTACGAGCTTGAAGAAAGGGTCATACACAGAATAACTTCAACTTGCAGAAATGGTGGAGGGTTTTTTAGTCAAATTCATTAACAGAATATACAGTATGGTGACAAAAGAAAGCTCCTTATCAGCATGAAGTAGTTCAGAATGGTTGTTAAACACAATGTGGTTTCTCAACTCAGAATACTTTATGGAGCGTTTTTCTCCCCCACGTGGTCAGTGTAAAACACAAGCAACAGAACCCATTCTGCCAAGGAATAAAACCCTATGGATAGTCCTAGTGATTTTTCTTAAGAGATTTGAAACTCAATATAGCTGTAGTCCTCTTGACCTACAGTCAACTTCCCATGGCAGAGGAGAACTATAAACATAAAGGTCTCTGGTTCAGCTGCATACCTCATGGAATGATTTTTCTTTTCCTGAAAGCTGAGTTTAGTAATGAAGCTGTGAGCCAGTGGACCTTTTCCAGTATTTTTCTTTCTGTATTTGCCACTACAAAGAGCGCATGTCTCTAAATTAATCTATATATGTGTGTATATATATATAAATCCTATTATACTGATATTTTTAATTACTAGAATCATACTGAAAGATGTGAGAGGCGGTAGAATGAGAAGGACAAGGATATGAAGGCTGGATTACCATCAGGAGATCTGTAAAAGTCTGTAGCACCATTTGAAGTGTGCCAGTGGGGCAGGCGGTTCAAATCAAAGCCACTGGAAAGAACCTCCTAACTTCTTGCAGCTTGTTGCAAGAACTTTTTTCTTTAAAAGTATTTTAAAGCCCGTTATGGTAGTGGTCTATAGCTAATACATTTAGTGGAGCTCTGCTTTACACCATCTCAAGTTGTCTGTTAAGAGATGACCCTGAAGCAGCATCTGGAGTTTGCCCACATGGCTCTTCCCTGTTTCTGATGAAAACATGGGGGTCTGATGGTCACATGGAGTGAGGGTCCTTTCAGTGGGTTTTCTGTGGTTTGCCAAATTGCTTCAGAGCTTTTTCGCTACCACTGTGTGGTTTTGGTTTTGTATTTTTCTTTATGGTGAGAGTTGTGTGCAGAGCAGAAATCTTTGAAGTGACACATCAAAGTTTGATATCTATGCATTAGCAAACAAAATTCACATTTCTCTGGGTAGGAAAAAGAGACTACACCCATGGAGGAAGATTCTTAGGTGAAGATTTCCTCTGTCTTGTGAGGAACCAAAGGGGTCAGGTTTTTCTTAGTGAGATTACTGCATCCACTTTCTAGGAATCCTTGGTGACTTACGCAACTGCCATTTCTGCAAAACCAGAGTGGGGTCTGCTTAGGTCAGTAGGTCCTGACAGTAGGTCCATCTGTCAGCTCCATGAAAGTAACTAAGTGGTTGTACAAGACACTAGTGAGTGACCCCAATGACTGGAAGAAAAGCAGAGAAAAAAGCTTAGAGCAGACCTACGCTTCTTGGGTCTGAATCTGGGGAGGTCCCAAACAACAGTGTGCCTTCTGCATTCCTGTTTAAGGTCTCAATATTTCTTACTCTTCCCCCGTCTCTTGGGGATTAGGAGCACCCTTGCAATTCTTAACTATCATATCAAGAACTCTATTTTTTTTAATTTTTTATATTTTTTTTTGCTAAATG